CACCATTTGTTCTCTCATAATGACAGCTATATACTGATAGGGTATCAGAGCTTTATGGCTCAGAACAGTTTGTGAAAATGTTACGATTGTAAGCTGCAGCTATGAAATACACGATCTCTCTGCTGAGTGGAACATTCCAAGGAATCAATACTGGAAACAGCCAAGTTATGTTTAGCACAACGCTTCTCTTCTCTCAACATGGTCGATCGCAGAGTTTCGCCTGACCATTGTTACAATATCCAAAAGAGCAGTGATTTGGTAGTTCTGACGCAAAAACTCCTGCACTTCTTTCGGAGGATAGCAGTTTTTTTCCAGGGTGGATATTTAACGACATTGTAAGTATCGGAACTATTTAGCGTCGGATTTTAGGATGATCAATGATGTGGAGATGTTGGTGGAATGAGAATTGGCAGGGGAAACCGAAGTACTCTGGGAAAGTCTGCCCGGCTGCCATTTTATCCAGCAAAGATCCCACATGATCTGGGATCGAATCCGCGGTGAGAAGCCGACGACTAACCTCTTGAGCTATTGGGTGATGGTGTTGGTGGTGATGAATAATAATATAACTGCTTATTACACAAAAATGTAATCACAAGTTAAATTTGAAAACAGTTTTTCCACCGAACAATTTTATGTACCAGTGGACTTGTATTCAGAGGTGCCCGGTTCTAAATTTTTCTCAAAAAATTACAGCTGTCCTGACTGAGGTTTTTTTTGGGGGGGAGGGGGGGATTTGCACAATCTCGCCGGACAGTTGCGTTGATTCTACACTGAAATTAATGACGACTGTCTTTCTCGAAATGTTTATCTTCTAACCATTCATAAGCATCATCCTGTGTTATTTAACGCTATATGACAGGTGTGGGCAGTCGATTTTGGTCGGAGGCCGGATTTCGCTATTTCGAAATGACCGCTCATCGGGGAGCCTAAAATGAAACATTCAGTATTGCAACAAGGAGTTTTGAGCTCAAGGCCCAGTTTTCTGCTGCGCACGTTCATTGTCATACAGATTTTGTTGCTATTATACCTATTATTATTATTATTATTATTATTATTATTATTATTATATTTCATTTACGCGAAGAATTTATTACCTACGTGCAGAGTCTGTGTGCGTTAAATTTGTTGGATATATCACAGTTTTGCACCTGCGCCATATTTGTTATTACTGACTTCGAAACAACAGTTCGTGCATAATGAATATTTTCACGTGAATTAGTGACTATAGACGGGATTTGGATTGGTGAATAGATATATTGAACACTCACAGGTCGTAACTACAAATAACTGTTGTGACGTTACTCGAAGCATTAAGATGTGGAAGTAGAAAACCCCGTGTAACGCGGTAAGCAATAGAACTTCGGCTGTTTAATAGCGAAGGTCCCAATAAAAACGACAACAGAGGAACTATTGAAGACGTCTGCTAGGCAACGGATACAGAAACGGTCAGTTACATCGGAGGACCAAAAATAGAACCCTTCAAGGGTATGATCTCAATACCGTTCGGCCAAAACCTACCTCAGAGAGAGAACTGACCAAAAGAAGACAGAACACGACAGAAGAATACAGAAGGGTAAAGAAGGGAAGACTAGAGGCTGGTGCAAGATCCAGACAACAGTGAGAGATTCGTCGTTGCATAGCAACGCTGGCGGCACGGACCCCATATAAAGTCGGTCGCCAGTCCATTGGCGCGCTGACTATTGCCTAGCAACGAGCTGTAAGCATTCGTCCTATTGCTGAGTGCGGTTACTCAAGGCGTTTGTCGCGCCGTTGCCTAGCTATACACTTTACAATATGTTCATTACCTATATCCTTATCAATTTCACGTTCCTGGTTCCAGTGATTCACTAGTTACCGCCGTCCAACCGAAAACTAAACCGAATATATGCAGGGCCGCCATATTAATTTATTTTCCACAAAAGTATTACCTCCACAGATGTTGCATATTATTCGAAGGTATATTATTAATTATTATACACCAATCCAGGGCCCAAATAAAGTGTCGCTTGTGTCATTTCCACCTCACAAGTTCGCACTCTCGCCAAGTTATTGCTATTAATTATAGGAAACTGAAACCACGACGTTGGTGTGGCCTCCGATGGCATAAAGTTTCTAACACTCTCAGTGGAATTTTATCATGGATTCGGACGTTAAGAACCGCGTGTACACACAATGCTAACATGGCAATTATTAAGTCTAAGGCTGACAACCTTACCGCCATCTTTGAGCCGATTGTCTAGATAATGTGGGACCCTCAACGTCTCACAACCCTATGGGCCTTCACGGCCTAGTACAGGGATAGCTTTACTTTTTACATTTTTTTATGCAGTCTTTAAGAAAAGAAAGTAAGCCAAATTGTTTGTTTACTAGTTATCGGTTATTTGTACTAATTGGTCATAATCTATACATACAATATCTTAACATTAAGGAATTAATTTGGACCGATATCCCGTACTGATTGACTACATCACGTATTAAACGTAATCTGGAGTGGGTTCCAGTATCCAGTTGCAGATATAGTAATGTGATATATAATTCATTGCTAGGTAACGGCTTGTTTAAACACGTCGTAGGCAACGCCTTGAAGCATATAAGTAAAGATTGTTCACACAGCAATGAAAGACATGTTTCGGTGACAACCGCAAAAACAAAGAAGTGTACCGTTGCACGGAGTGTTTCACATCCGGTCGGCGTGAAGCAAGCCTAGATCGAGAGAACTGACCAGAATAGAGAAGAATACTGCAGCATACAGGAGTTTGCAGAAGTGACTAGATACTGGCCCAATAGAGAAGAGACTGGGTGCAGACCTGCTCACCGAATTCGTACGAGGAACATCTAAGAGTGGAACTGTTGTTCCAGTAACCTTTTGAAGTGTTGTCTTTGTTGATCCGCCTGGTGTTGTCAAATAAATCCAAATAAATCGATTCATCAATCCAGGGAAACCATTAATTACTTTTCGCGTTACCAAGATATGTGACAGTAAGTTACATTAATGTGTATGTGTGGATTACTGTCATCCAAAGACTGAATCTTTCTTAAAAAATTGTTTTTCTTGCTAGTACAGTGTATTATCTATTGGCCTATTTTATGTGATAAATTAAAAATTAATAAAATGCCTGTGATCAGTATCCAAACAGTATCGTATGTCAGTAATTTTTTTTTCAGTGGCAGCAGTTTTCCCGCTGTCTGTAGCTTGTTTCCCCTGATATATCCCCCCTGCAAACAGAAATATTATTTTGGGTGGTGAATTCGTAAGGATTTGACTTTTGTGTACTGTAATGGTGATCACATGGAAGGACTGAATGAAACTGAAAGAAAATGTCGGGATAGCCGGTAACCCGACCAAGGTTCAAACCCAAGTACATTTGTGTGCATCAACCTTCTCCGTTTGATGGAGATCTATGGAGGTTCACAGCGTTAACTCCACACATCTGTGCAGTGTGACAGACATGATATACTTACCACGTCATTTTGGCAGTAGGTTATAACGAAACGTGGGATTATGTTTTTGCATGTTCATTGTCCTTAAAACATAGTTTTAAAATGTAGATGTCTCACAGCTGACATGTGGGCCGTTTCTAGGTAACGGGTTGGCGGATTGCTTTGCCACGGAGAGATTGATTCTTGGAAACCAACTGGTTAAGGAGCACGTTTCCGTGGATACGAAAACTAAATGTTGTAAACGGGTGAAAGCCGGACCGTTGTTGCGAGATTGACACGCGTTTCGTAGCAACGGATGAACACAATTCTGTATTCAGGTCGACTCTAGGAATAAAACAGTTCATTCATAAGTAACCCTGAGAGTCGCAGGAGGCGACGGAAAGGGAATTCTCGAATCTGAGACAGTAAAATATGATGGCGAGTCCCACGGGACTCGGACACGAGAATGACTGCGCTGGCTAGGGCCAACAGCAATTGTAAGTGACAGACCAGTCCTCTCGTAAGAGAGAGAGCACCACATCAACAAACCCGTAACTGTCTGACAGTAATAAAAATCTGGTTGTAAGCCCCAGATGGGTGCTTTATTCCAAGTGAGACTTGCCGACTGGCCATCGGTCGTAACATAGGACTCAAGACTCATTCATTCGTAAGTGTTAACAAACTGAGATTCGTTATCAGGAAATGCCTAGTGAAAATTTTGCAGAGGAGTGGCTACTCTTGAGACCGGTTACCGAGCAACGACTAGGGAAACAGATATAGAAGATTTGAGGTTTTCACGGCGGTGACTATGAAGAAAGCCGTCTTGTGGGTTGTGGCGCCGTGTAGATATTGTGTTAACTGATGTTTTGGAGGAACGTATTACTTCAATGTTCAGGTTAAAAAGAAATCCGCGAGCGAGGAACCAGTGTTAGCAGGGCTGCACACTTTTTCTACGCTGAAGATGTGGGCGATACGTTCCTCCAAAACATCGGTTCACACAAGATCTGTACGGCGCCTCATCCAAGAAGACGGCATTATTCAGATATAGAAGACCTTATTTTGTGTGCTGCAATACAGTAATCGTTAGTGTGTGTAAACCAGTGAGACTTATAATTATTTGTAGTTATGACTTGTGAGTGTTCAGTAAATGTATTCACCAGTGCAAACCCCGTCTGTAGTCACTAATACACGTGAAAATATATTTACCACTTCATTTTGACAGTAGGTTATAATGAAACGTGGGATTATATTTGTGCATGTTCATTGTCCTTAAAACATAATTTTAAAATGTAGATGTCCACACAGCTGACGTACTTCCGCACTTTGGGAGTGAAAGTTCACCCGAAGTTCACTAAAGGATGTTCTAAAATATTTCCAAGGTTGTTATAAAGTATTGACCGGGTATTGACTTTCATAGCATACAAAGTTCCTGTAACAAATTTATTACAAGAATGTTGGTCACGCGAGTTTGTGCATAATAGGTTCAGCGTTGGTTCTGTAGGTGGATATGGAGCGTCTGCACGGAGGCGAGGTTTCTGCGCCTAATAAAGCATAGTTTGTAACAATGCGCCTTCTTACAGAACACGTACACGAACGCGGAGAAGCTGTTAACGGCGGCCGAGGAATTGGCGCAAACGGGGGAGTGCAACGCGGAAGAGATATATTCAGTGGCGCATGAATTGGAGACTCACGTGACGAGCTTCGCAGCCCGCGTCGAGCAGAGGCGACAGCGTCTCGACCTCGCCGTTCTCTTCTACACTCAGGATAAAGAGGTAAGTGTTCGACAGGAGCTTTACAGCTGCTACGAGATATCTGACGATGATGTATAACACACAGGGATACTGGGTTTTCGGACTTTGTCCATCGTCCGGATTCTAAATAACTAAGAAAAAACACAGCATTTCGGAAACTGCATTTGTTTCAGTCCTCAGGTGAGGGAAGACACCTACTCTGATGGGTCCCTTAGAAAGAGCTAGCCTCAATCACTGGACCCAGTTGTGTTTTTTCTTATTTATTTAGAATCCAGACGATGGCCAAAGTCCGAAAACCTAGTATCTCTGTTTACAGGTGCTGTTTTCCAATCGGTTTTGAACTCGAGGCACAGATTCTTGTATCATAACATTCACTTGACTGCGCAGGATGTGGGAGCAGTATTATTCTTAGTGGGGTGAGACTGAGTCCACTTGGTACTGCGGCCACTTCTGGCCTACTGTACCAGCCCCAGGTGATAGTTGAGGGCGATTGTGGAGCAACTGGTGGAATGAAGATAGGCAGGAGAACAGAAGCACTTGGAGGAATCCTGCCCCAGTGCCACTTTGTCCACCACAAATCCCACATGACCTGAGCAGGGCTTGAACTTGGGCTGCCGCGGTGGGAAGCCGGAATGAGCCATGAAACGGCCTTTATGTGATTATTATAATTGTATCGTGCAGTGAGATTTGTCCTGCGTGATGTTTACATTTCCTTTTCTTCACATCTTTGTTACCTCGTCCTTTGTTTTTTCGGTACTCTGTTCCCCCTAGAAATTCTGTTAGTATACTTAGTTTCAATATAACGACCATATCCGTAGCTGGGCCACGCGGTAGCACGGTTGGGGCACTGTGCAATAAGCCGGAAGGTCGCAGGTTCGATTCCCGATGAGGTCATTGGATTTTTCAATTGAATTGTCCTTCCAGCCGCAATATGGCCCTGGTGTCGACACAGACTCTTAACAGAAACGAGTACCAGGAATATTCTTGGCGATAAAGGGCAGCTGGCGCTTAAAGCTGACAACCTCATCACCATCTGTGAGCCGATTGTGTAGAAAAATGTGGGAACCTCGACGTCTCACAACCCTATGAGTCCCCACGGCCTGTTAACAGGGATAGCTTTAACTCTTTATATCAGTTTCTTAGATTTGTCATTGAAACTGTTCAGTATCTGTGTTCAGGCAAGGGGAACCTAGTCTAAAGAGTTTGCCTGTCACATTATCTGGCCCATTGCTGCGTTCTGGCGGACCTCTTGGTTCGTCTTTGTCTTAAGATGTAATTAGAACAAGTTTAGAAAAGCAACATCGCGTTTTAAGAATAAACATATGCAATGGATCAGGTCTTTTTTATTAAAATGAACTATTCACTCAGAACATTTAAAGATATGTTGAAGATTCATGTGCCTGTTACACTCACACAGTATATATGGACAAATACCGTCTTAAGTGCAACAATTTTATTGTAGTTTTTACTTCTTTTTGNATGAAATTTAAAAGTTTCTGAAAATTGAGCTACTACAACGAAGAGCGTATGTTAAGTGTGAACTACTGAATTCAGTGTTTTTGTTATTCGGGTCATATGCGGCACAGGGACCAAGCAAGGGTGTTAAGTCATTTAGTTTGTTTATCTACGCTCTGCCGGATCTTCCATCCTTGGGTTTGCTCAGTTCCGTTTGAGAAGAGTAAGTAATGAGTAGATCACGCTTCCAACCCAGCTAATACAGTAATTTGTTGTAGCAGTATCGTCTTTAACTTGTACGTGAATGTTGGTCGGCTAATCGGGCATTGTGACCAAGTTCGTGATTTTCCTTGCTCTCTTCTTGCAGGTGCTGTAAAAACACTTGAACTGGGACCCGATTGCTTCATTGTACGTCCCTATCCCATCAGTATTTATCATTTTCTCGGCCCCATAGGAAATTTGTATAACCTCTGTAGTTTGAACAGCGTCATATAGCAACTTTATAACCTGTCGGTAATTGCCAGTACATTCCCTTTGTTTCATAATCTTGCCGAAAAATACGAAACTAAATAAATTACATTGTCAGATGTCAGTGTAGGAAATGTTCCCAAGCATTTTAAAAGTATTGATTAGTGCCAACATCTGCCCTGAAAAGACTGGCTCCAGGCACGGCTATTTGGACATACCTGTGTTGTTGAAATGTCCAGTGGATTCGTCGTAATGTGTGTGACAGGCAGTGACGCCCTATGCTGAGTCGACCATATTGCACTGACATTTTTGACTGCAGATGGCTGAAAATTCGTTGATCGGAATCCAGAACAATTAGATGCAGTTCTCCAAAATGTTATGTCAATGACGTGGCTGTTAATGCGCTGTCGCGGTTTCCATGACTAAAGCGAGTCAATGCACATCACAGCAGCTGCTAGCCGTGTTACAACGGGCATAATTACTTTCCTACTGATGTAATGGATTTGTTTCTTTACGTTGGTGATGATTAACCATTTAATTTACTTTTATACATCAGGTTGTTAACTTACTTTCTTAAAGCAGGCTTATGCGATCACCATCCTGTCTTTGTGTCTGTGTATCTCCCCTCCAAATAACTTCTAATTGCTTGAACAGATCTGTTAAACTTGATANGATCACCATCCTGTCTTTGTGTCTGTCTCCAAATAACTTCTAATTGCTTGAACAGATCTGTTAAACTTGATAAAAATGTTCATGGCATCTGAGCCCATCTCAGCGGCGTACTTCATAAATCCCTCAAGTCAAAGTCACACTTACTTTACGGCTGGCAGTTTACAGCCAAACGATTCTTCTTGGCGTTAAACCCCTTGAGACCCACGTCCAGAGATTTTTTCAACTGACCTCTTGGCAGTAATAATCCTTACGTAACATCCTCTCTGACGGAATGATGTGTTTGTCTCTTATGAATATTTTTAATCCGCTTAGTGGGGGGTGGCGTTCAGCTGGGTCCACTCGGCACGGCAGCCACTGATTGGCCTATTGTACATGCCCCGGGTGTTTATAATGATGGTGAATTTGGTGGAATGAAGATTGACAGGGGAAACCGAAGTACTGTGAGAAAACTTGCCGCAGCGCCACTTTGTCCACCACAAATCCTACTTGACCAGACACGGGATTGAACTTGGGCCGCCCCGGTGGGAAGCCAGCGACTAACCGCTTGAGCTATGGCACGGCCTCTCTTATGAATATGCTTGGCCTTTCGTCAATTGTACGTGTCGTACATATAGCATGTTATTCAAAATTCTTCCTTTTGTATATTGTCACGTGTAAGGGGGTACGTGACAAATGATTACGGATATGCCGGAGCTGTTTTATTGGATAAGTATGCCAGGCGAAACTACAGATAATTATCTCACGCGATAATTATAGTAACTGCGAACAATGGACACACTCTAATGTTCCTTATAACTATGCAACACGAAGGCTTCTGTCGATTCTTCTCTTGCTGACCACTGATCTGATCTCCGCCCTGGTCTCTCGTATCGACGTCTTTCTGCCGAATTTCCTCGAACAAGTCAAAGTCAAAGTCATATTGCAACTGACGATCAGTCAGTCAGTCAGTCAGTCAGTCAGTCAGTCAGTAAGTCTTGGTATCGCGCACCCTCCTCGGGCTCATGACCAGATATTTATTACTCCTCCACAGTTACGGTCTTCTTTTTATGGGGCGCCCTCTCTGACGAGAGGATGGATCTGTCTTTTGTTTATGTTGCTGGTCCTTGTCAGCTCAGTCTTTCTCGGGTCCTAGTCCCTTGGGACTTGAGACCATATTTTACTGTCTCACATTTGAGACTTCCCCTTTCGTCGCCTCTTACGACTCGCAGGGTCACGGTGGAGGTATTCGACTCCGCCTCCACACGCGGGGGTCCTCAGCTATGACTGTTCCTCCAACAGCCTTCATTGCTTCGTATATAGGCTCGGCATGGATCACCCACACAAAACACATCGCTGCTTAGCAACGGATATCATGTATTGTTGTCAGGCGTGTGGACCCATGCATTGCCTGGGAACGGACCCCTATATTGTTGGATGCTCGTTGGTTGGAACATGTTTATGTAGTCGTGCCCTAGAAACTGCCCAATCTGTAAGAAAATAAGTCCTCTGTCAGTACAGGCTTTGTAAAACAGATCATGCCCATCTTACGTATCTTATGCTGCAACGGCAGCTTAATAACATGATCGGTCGTAAGTCTGACCACTGCCAAGTTCAAACCTCTTATATTTTCTATGTGTGGCTTCACCTTTCCGTGTACCATGGACATGTTCATTCTCTTGAAGAAAGCAGTCTTCTGGGATGTTGCGCCATGTAGATATTGTGTTGACGGACGTTTCGGATGAACGTATCGCCTCCATCTTCAGGGTAGAAGAAAAAATCCTCGAGCGAGGAACCAGCGTGAGCAGGTGCTAACAGACTAATGTCGAGTCGAGTAAACCCAGCTGTATAAGAGCAGGAAGAGAATGGAGAGGGTTACATGGGAAATCAGTAGAGAGGAGATGGGAAGGGTCTGGGGACCAGCAGGTAGCAGGCCAGAGCAGGTATAGAGTATTGTGTTGGGGGGAGAAAGGCAATGTTAATTGGAGGGAATTAACCCTGAAACTTCGGGGCTGCGATGCGAGTCGGGCATGGACCTGCGTGGCCTTGTGGATCTGGCGTCATGTCCCGGAGGTTTCTTGAGGGAACAGATGAGAGGCTTCCATGACTTGCTGAGACAAAACCCCACCTCTCTGTTCATATTGTCGAGATGGAGTTAAATCTCAATGGCCTCCCTAAAGATGCGATCCATATATCGGGTCTTGGTGGCGAGGATGGAGGTATTCTGAAGCTGAATGCGGTGTCGCATATCGATGCTGTATTCATCAACAGCTGACTTGTCCGATGTTCTGGACGGATGTGCCGCTGATGCTCCTTCAACCTCGTGTCCACGGAACGGCCCGTCTTCCCAGTATAGACCTTGCCGCACTCGCAAGGGATTCTGTATACACTCGGTGTCCTTAGTCCCAGGTTATCCCTTGCCGGGTCGGAGGAAACTGGACAATTTCTTTGGAGGCAGGCCCACTGATTTGATGTTGTGCTGTGACAGCATATTCCACCGAATCAGCAGAGTGCTACTGGCCCAGAGATGGCCAAAGTTTTGGCAGCTGTAGCAGTGCGGAAGGCCACTTTTAGCTCTGTATGATTCTACCATGGTCAGTAATATGGTTAAGGCTATTCAGCTTTAGTATCTCTTGAGATTTTACATTTCTTGTTAAGGTAACAAGGAATAGCGGGAGGGTTTTCACGTAGGTCTGTCCATTTGGTGCTCTTTGATTGGTCGTCAATTGCCTCACGGTGATGGCGTTGAAGCCTAAGCCCTCAAGGCTGTTAGAAATATCTTCCGCAGGCTTATGTGGGGGAAGGTGACGGATTACTGCCTTCATAGGCTTCTCAGAATTTGGAGAGAAGATAAAAAACTGGAATTATTTTTCTCCAGGTAGGATTTCATGGCTGAATATCCGCCATTTATTTTGTTATGAGTTCCATTTCGTATATTTCGGAACTCGTTCTCTCCTTTGACGCGTTCTTTTAAGTCGCTTTGGTGCCGAATTAGGTTTATTGTAGAAGCCATCACTATTGGTGACGGCCTACCTGATTTTCTGGGAGCCTCCTGCTCCGGTAGCCTGTTCTCTGTTCCTGCAGTCACCGTGTCCATGTCAGTACTGAGAGGTGCGAAATAGTTGCGAGCTGCTACTACTTTGGGCAGCAACTTGACTTTTGCGGATGTTGGAACTGTTTCAGTCGGCTTCTTGGCTGACTGTGAGTTATCACTGGAGTTATGCCTCTTGCGTCTCTTTACTTCTCGGAATTCGTCATCCTGGGCCGTTAGTTCTGATGAGGTTTTGTTCGCTGCAGCACTCAGGCCCTTCACTTCGTTCATTGTTACCGTGTACATGCCGTAAAGAGCGCTAAAAAGCTTCTTCCCATCCAGACTTTTGCAAAGGTTTGTTCTGTTCTCCTCTGCATTATTCACAATAGTGGTCCACTCAGAGCTTTCCCCAACTTTAGCCCCTGTGTACCCCGCAAGAATCTCAATGTCATTGAGTGCTTTATGTACTTGTACTATAGGGCCTGCTTCTTGGAATTTGTTCGTGATTGCCAGCGTCTGTGTTTTGTATTTCCGGAATCCAGATACTGGGACGTCCGCCATCTTGGTGTACACTCAAGTTCACCGCTTGTTTCTTGTCCCCCCTCCCCACACACGGACACACAGCGCTGCGTACACCCGCGGACAGGCGGCAGACTTCGCCGTTACCACCTTCGCCAAACGGTATGTGGCCGTGAACACACTACGTCAGGTGAAGTCCGTAAAATCCACACTGTGCAACATATGTTTCGTTCCAGTCACTAAATCCAATCAAGACCTTGTGTAGCCGACTTATCGTGAAGACAGTTCAGTTTCTGCATTTTCAGTTGTTTTGGTTGCTGTGTACTAACTGGACATTACCTGATAACCTGTACTCAGATCCCACCCATCAGTGTCTGTATGTGTATCCCTTCCGTCGTTGCAAGACAACGGCTCGCGGCAACGAGTAGATGCAACAGCAAAAGAATTGTTGGACGCGTCACATTCTGTGCGATTCGCGGCTTAACAAAGGAGAGTTCGAGTCTGTAGCCATCTGTCTTTTCTAAGTAACGACCAGGTAAAGACGTTACCTCTGCAACGAAGAATTATTTCAGTTGTCGTTTTCTTGTGATCCATGTCGTATCAAAGTAGAGTAGCCGATTATTTCTTCCCAGAACTTCTTGTTATTAATTGTTTTCACGAAGTGCATAAAAGAATGTATAATGGTAAGTTCTTTGAAACTTAGAAACGAACTTCAGGCTCTACAAGGGCCGGGATAGTTCAGTCAGTATAGCGACTGGCTACGTGCTGGCGGACGGAGGAGTCGGAATTCGATTCCCAGTGAGGCAAGAATTTTCACTTCTCCATGTCCAGGCCGGCTCTGGGGTCCACACAACCTCCCATACAATGCGTACGGGGGCTCTTTCCCCGGGGGTAAAGTGGCCGGGTCGTAAAGCTGACCACTCACTTCCGACTACTGCCGATGTCAAGAGAATGTGGATACGTCTGACCGCCTCTGTGGTGTAGTGGTCAGAGTTCCTGGTTACAGATCCAGAGGTCCCGGGTTCGATTCCCGGCGCTACCAGATTTTCTGAGAAATGCTGGGTCTGGAACGGGGTCCGCTCAGCCTCATGAGGATAATTGAGGAGTTATTTCAAGGCAATAGCGGCTCCGGTCAAGAAACCGAGATTAACGGCCGTGGGGATCCGTTGCGCTGACCACGCGACAGCCTCTATCAGCAAAAGTTGGCACCAACTTCGCCGACAAGTGGCGGTCGCTCGGTCGGTATAGTTCGCGTGCGGACTAAAAATCCACGGCGTTTTATCTCTGTATCAGGCCATGGAAGCTCATAGGGTTGTGAGACTTCGAGGCTCCTACATTTTCTAGACAATCGGCTCACAGATGGCGGTCAGGTTGTCACTCTTACGTGCCGGCCGCTCTTTCCTCCGAGAAAGATTCCTAGTACTCATTTCTGTTAGAGGCTGATTCGACCACACGGCTCTAGTGCGGCTGGAAGGATTAGGTAAACTAAAAAGAAATCCAGTGACCTCATTGGGAATCGAACCCGCGACCTCTCGTCTTGTAACATAGTGCCTCAGCCAGCTATGCTTTCGCGTGCCCCCCCTCCCATATCGACTGGTTAATGGTAATAACGATGATGGAAACATATTTATGAAAATATAAATGCCCACAGCTTTGTTTAAGAAACTTTAATATGAGAAGTTTTCAAGTCGAAACATGAAGGACAGACGCTGTCCTGTGCGCGTTCATTTTATTCATCTCGTGCAACGACCGTAGTCTGTGAGTCGTCACTATGATGAGAACCGTGAATGTGTACATGTCTTCTTCCCTGACCCAGTCCACATGATATTTCAGTTTCCCTTTCCCTTCCGTAACTTAAACTGTAATATTTCAGCCCCTCGTAAATCATTGGCTTCGAAGCGCCTCCTCGCCATCTGTTGTGTGTCTGCCTGCGGGCATGTGTTTAGATTACATACCACACACCGCCGTCTGAGAAGTTGCCGCGTGAGCAAGGCGTTCCATGGCCCACTGTGATTGTTGTCGAGAGATACTCGTAAACTGTCGTTACTATCTCTGGAGTCTTGCGGGCGAAACGGAGTGGAATGCTGCACTTCTGTATATCGGTATGAATGAGGGAGGGGCATCCGGAAGCTTTACGAAGTGACATACTTTTTTTGACAGCTGAGTAAGGTTTATAGCAGTTAATGAAAGTCACATGTGTGGTTAATGTCGTAATTAGATAATATAAATTTGTAATCCAGCATTGAAACCAAGTTTTCGCATGTGATAGAATGGTGGACTTGTGCGGAGATGGTCATACGATCGAATCCCAGTTATGTTGCAGATTACTACTACTACTGCCACCATAAGACCAGTAAACTCATTATTGCACGGTTAAGTATGAGTGAGTTTTTGATAGTTGTGTTAAAACGACCGCCTCTGTGGTCTAGTGGTCAGAGTTCTTGGCTACAGATCCAGAGGTCTCGGGTTCGATTCCCGGCGATGCCACATTTTCTGAGAAGTAGTGTGTCTGGAACGGGGTACACTCAGAAATAACGGCTCCGGTCTAGAAAAACCGAGATGAACGGTCGTGGGGATCCGTTGCGCTGACCACGCGACACCATCTATCCGCAGAAGTTGGCACTGACTTCTCCAACAAGTGGTGATCGCTCGGTCGGTATAGTTCGCTTGCGGAGTTTTTGTTGTATTGAGACAAGAACATTTAAAAAGTAATTTTATAGAATAACACAACAGGATGCATTTATTGAAGATTAAAAATTGAATTATCATTGGACTAGTGTCCTGAGGGGAGAAGAGGCGTACTGATATAAACAGACCTTTGGCATAAACCAGTATAGATTCAAGAAATATAAAATCTTAGCATTGTGTAAGATCTCACGGTATTGTGATTCTTTAGACGTCATAACTGCGCTCATTCTCAGACTTTATTGCAGCTTACCAGCTGGGTAGACGAGCTGCGCCAGGAATTGCAGAACGATGAGGCAGCTGATACCCTGGAGGCGACCGAGAGGTTGCTAGAGCAGTGTAGCCAACAGCGGGATTCTTCCTTGGACGCCTGTGTCAGCACCATCGCGAGGGGCGACACGCTGCTACAGGAGCTGCGGTGAGTTGTGTACCGCTTCTAACAGCTCGTATTTGCGGTAACTGACGTTGCAGTCCTTTCATTAGAGGCTGACACAGAGGTCACGAGGTGGCCTGTAATGCCACTCAGTCCGCATTATAAATCAGTGCTAACCAGGACCTGAACAAGCTCATTGACCTCGTATCGGTATAGAAACTAAGGACCTCAGTGTTACCCAACTCCATGGAGCTGAATCTTTCTTGATAGTTTTTTCATTTTTCTTTTAGATGTAACGTTTTCACAGCGGCCAAGACTCATATCGTGATCTTCTGGATTATGATGACACTGTAGTTTGATAGATGTGTATCGACGTATTGTATGGCTCGGGTTCTGGATTGGATTTATTAGCACCTTCCTGTACAGTCTCTTTTAATCACAATGAATCATAGCGCTATCGCTAATCTACCCACTTCACAAATCACTAGGACAGTCTAAGTATTCTCATTCTCACTAGTCGTATCCTGGCAACAGATCTATAAGAGTCTCACTGTAACTGCAGCACACATCAGGTCTTCTTTACGCAGGCTAACAACGTTGTACTCGATTGTACTCCTTCATTTCTCATTCTCCGGCCTCGCTTCCGAGCAGAAGCTTACTGCCGGCACAGTCACTCCTGGCATAGGGCCCCGCTGGGACCCATGCCATGTTGGGTTTAGTGTCTAGACCTATGTTTTTTCCCCTCTTTGTTGGTCCTCCTTAATGATAAAATGAGAGGCTGTCTTACTGCGAAATCAAAGTCACATTGCGACTGACGGTCAGTCAGTCAGTAAGTCTTGGTGTCGAGCCCCATCTGGGGCTCATGACCAGATATTTATTAATGTTTGGCATTTACGGTCTTGTTTTTGTGGGGCGCCCTCTTTGACCA